AACTTGGCTCTCCAAATTGATTCTCCTTCCCCCATCTCTTCAGGTGTCTGGGGAAAGACCTGTGAACATAAATCAAATGTGTAATTGTGTATCTTGGCCTCTGCCTGCGTCTCCCTCTCCTCTTGCCGGGGCATTCCCCACCTACAAGGTGTTCTGATCTAGAAGGAAGGAAGAAGTCCTCTTTCAATGTGTCTTGCTCTCCTGGCACCTGGAGCCACTGCTAGTGCAGATGGGGACTAACACCTGCTCACCCCCAGAGCGATAAAGGTATTCCGTGGCAGCAGGACCCAGCAGGCCACAGCTCATCATAAGCCTTTCACTCAGATTTGCCTGAGGACCACGGCCTACCACCTGGGTGGGGCGGTTCACTGCATTTTCTATATTTCAGGGACTCCCTTTATAATTCCAAACTGGGTTCTGATAGTTCTAGTTCAACTCCCTGCCTCTCTTCTTCAAGTTCAGCCCTATTCACTTCAGCCTATGTCTCTGAAGTTCAAGTAGATATATGTATATATATCTGTCTGCACAGCCCTGATTGACAAGTACAATGAAAATGTCTCATTCCTGTCTGGTTTGCATTTCATTACATTGGGCAACAATATGCCTTGGATTTCAGAGGACAAAGGCAAAAAAAATGAAAAGGGGGGGGTTGATTAACAATATCTATTTGTTTATTCTCGATTGAATTTTAAAGGTATTTAGGGCTTATAAAATATGTGTCAAATGATAGGACCATAGTGAAAATTCTGATGTGGCCAATAAAATCTGGAGCTGTGTGATTTTTACACTCGCCAACCTGCAGACACACTCTGTTGGCGAGTGTGTCAGCAGGTCCTGGAAATCGATAGTTCAGCTTGGCCCTGATGCCAATTAAGGGCTTTATCTTAGCATAAAAATAAAGAGAAGTTAAAAATGCATTCTTTTCCCAGCTTTCTTTCCCCTTCATTTTTTATTGCCACTTGCAGTTTTTCTTTTAAAAAGATCTGGGACTCTGAAGAGAGGGTGGGGATTTATGTAAAGAAAGTGTCATTTACCAGGAAAAAAGGCGAATAATGGTGAGTTTCAAGGACATGTTGCAATGAGAAACACTTTGTGCTCCACTAGGGAGAGACAGGGGCACCAAATTCAGCGTCTTGGAATAATTCCCTTCCTGGATTCAAAGATTCATTTATTGAAATAAATCAGGAAGCCTTGGCAGAACGGAAATCCGCTTGCTGGGTTTAAAGGGTCTTTAAAATGTTGCGAGTGTTAGATTGCAAGTCTTTTCTAAATACAAAACAGAAGAAAAGACCGCAGCGTTTCCCTTGGACTTAAGGAAATTACTAGGTCACTGAATCAGGATAATTTCATGTCCACCACATAAAATGTGTTTAGAAAGAAATGCTGCATGATAACACAATGTGCTGTATATGTTCTATTTTTTTGGAGGCTCGACGGAAGAGAAAAGTGCTATGGAGTTGGGCTCTGGGTTGTACGAAGAACCCGGTACTACCCTACTGCCCCTCAGGACGTTCTGTTTCCCTACGGCTTCTTCAAGATGGATCCTAAAAATCGGCCTCAAAAGCTTTGCTGGTTTAGAAGTGATCAGTTTCTCTGATTTTACTTCCTACTTTAGATTTGGGCATAAAAATGAATCTTTTTCCTATTTACCGTTTGAACTCAGTGTGAGGGAAAGGATCCCATTATATTTCCTATCCATGCAAACATGTGAATATTTAGACCGGACCACATACAACTGGGGGACACATAAAAGAGATTTATTGGTTCATTTACGTTGCCTACTACACATGTAAACCCTAGTAAGCCAAAGCTGCTGAGGGAGCCTCAGTTATAGAACCACGACGCCTGAGTTAGAGTTGTCCTCCCTGACTAGAGCTGTGACTCCTGTCTCCACCTGAAAAACGAAAACACGAGAGTTGTCTCCATCTCCTCACCTCTGCCTGTGTGTAGGAAAAACTTTTCTCCTCTTAGCTTTCCCTCTTCAGCCACCACTCTGTTCTCAGACTCAGCTCCCCAAAGCGCCCTGTTCCCCGAAGTTGTTCCCAGAGTCTCCTCTTGAAAATCAAGTTTGGGGAGGAGAGAAGCTCTAAGTTATAGGAAAAACTTCGCGCTCCCCCCTCGCCCCCAACAGCAGTGATTTGCTTTGTTGGGGGTGGGGGCTTCGTTTTCATGTGCAGTAACTAGCTTTATCTGGAGGGATTTTGCTTTCTACCCTCTTTTAAGGGTCAGGGGTCCTCCTCCCCAAATAAGGAAACTCCCACTCAAACCAACTGAAACCGAAGTAGAAATGGCCTACCTCTGCCCTGCTGTTCACAAAGCCCCCAGCCTCGTCCTTTTTCGCGCATCTGGGACCCCTGCGTCCCACACAGCAACGACACCCCCTCAGAACCGCATTCTCGGGATGGGCCCGGCTGTCCCGGGAAGGGCTCCATTGCCCGGGATTTTGGCCTGGCTGAATCGCCTCAGGTCTGCCCCTTAACAAGCATTCAACCCCCCGCCCCCACCTCCCCACTTCTCGGTTGATGATCTAATTGAATTATGCCTTTTTGTTCCAGGGACTACAGAGCACGTGCTGGAGGCAATTAATTATCGGAATGTGGCCGTATCAAAACGGACACTGGGCACCGGGTAGGTCAGCGGCGGCAACTTCCCCCTGCCCTGAGCTCGAGACCCCTTCCCAAATAGGGGCATGATGAGCTCCCTCGTCTGCCCCCCTTCTGAGCCTTTCACCCAGTTGCAATCGCGCAAGGCCCTCGATTCTCGGGGTACCTGGCGGGACTCCCCGGAAACTCTCGCATCAGCGCTGGCTCGGCCAGAGCTCGACAGCCGCCCCTTCCCGGTCCCCCAGTCTCGAGAACCGCTGTCCGCGGGACCAGCTCAGTGAGGAAATCCAAACTTTTTTAAAGCAACTACTTGGCCAAGGGCTGTTGGGGTTAGTGGGAGGTGGAGAGAGGTAGAGGGAAAAGAGGAAATAAAGAAGAAAGTGAAAAGAAAGGGAGGGGGGAAGAAAGGCAATCCTCCTTTTTTTGTAAACCTGACTCCAGGGGATTCATTTGCATGATTTAAGCATATTTGTTCTCTGAACACACCAGCGCCCCCCTACCCCCAAAGAAACCCTCTGCTGAGAGGCACTGAAACCATTCTTGGAGAGCCTATGTTCGGCAGACGCAATAATTTAAGTCAGCAGTGAACTCACCTTCCAACCTGGGGAGAGAGCTCTGGATGTGGAGAGAGAATTGGGGCGAGTTTGATGGGAGGGGGTGAATACGGTAAGATGTGCTACCGGTAGGGTTTTCTCCCAGCAAACTGGCTAAGAAAGAAGGTGAAGTGTTGGCTGGGCCAGGCAGATTGGGGAGCAGGAAGGGAAAGGCTGCAGTTATAAAGCGCTGCTTGAGGCGGTCTCTCCTGGCGCCTCTGAACTTGATCAGATGTTCTGTTTCCTACAGAGAGATGGCGGCCAGGCTGTGAGGCTGCCTCAAGGCTCAGACTTTGGGGCTTGGCCCGGCTAGGGATGTGACAATCACAGCCATCTTTCTCTCTGCCTTTTCTTTCCACTCTCACTCTCCTGCATTCTTTGCAAATGCCTTGCAGGAAAAATGAGTGAATTTATAGCCTTGCCTGAACCTGGTCATTAAGTCTAGAAAGACCTCGCACCAGACAGAAGGCGGGAGGACTTTCACACGCACCCCTGGAAGTAAATCCTTAAGGGGTAAGCAGTCCCTGAGGTCACTACATGCTTTACCTTCTCCGGGTAGGAGTAGAAGAGAGTAAAGCCTTGGCTGTTCAGAGGAAAGAGAATTCCATGTCACAGTCCCCATTCAGCATCAGCACCCCCCAACACGACTTTTGCATTTGAAAATGTTGAGAATTCAAAGCTGATTAGCCTAGTGATTTGGAAACCACCCTGATACTGTGTGTCTAGTGTATTATGTGTTTAGTGTGTTGTGTGCATGTTTTGTGTACACGGGCTAAAAGTGCTCTTGGCATGTTTTGTATTTGTGGGTGTTTGCTGTTATGTGTATTTGCTCTATTGTGTTTAGTTGTGTGCCTGTGTTTATTGTGTCGTGCGTAGTTTATGTTACTGTGTTGTGTTTACTTTCTTGTGTTGTGTGCGTATTTCATGTGTAGTGTTTGTTTCCTGTGGTGCGCTTGTGTTTACTGTGTTGTGTGCTTGTTTCTTGCTGTGTGCTTGTGTTTACTGCGTTGTATATGTTTGCTGTGTCGTGCCCGGTGTGTAATTCGGGAAGTGGGCAGCGGCGAGTACAGCCGCTGCTCACAAACTAAAGGGTCAACGCTTGGCGCAGACGGAAGTAAGGGAGATCAGCTCTAATTGTAATTTCTTCTCCTTTGGGTCTCGGACAGCTGTCGACAGGTTGGGGCACAAACGGCGAACTATCTGGGCCTGGGTCCAGGGTCTCGAGGCCATTAGAACTCGCAGTGATTGGGGGTGGACGCAGCGGCTGGGCCGGGAGCGCGAAAATGCTGGGCTCTCCCCAGGATCTGCGCCCTGAAGCTACAGAGGGGACATGTTCTCAAGGTGGTGAGGCAGCGGGGACCTAGGCGGGACTGGACGTTGGGCACCGCGTCTCCTCCGACGGCGCAACAGTGGGACCGATCCTCCCGGGGCAAAGAGTTTCTTTGGCCAAAGCGGGTAACGAGCGCGAGGGGTGGGGGGAGGCCCGCGAGAGGCCCTGCGGCGTCCCGCCGTTTGCCGGCTGGAGCCGGCCCCAGTTCCCCGCAGCCGCTCAAGCCCGGTGGAGCCCACTCGCGGCCGCCCGTCAGCCGCCGCCTCACCTGCCAGGCACCCGGCGGCTGCCCAATCAGCGGGGGTCGCTCGGCCACGGCTGCCATGTTCTCCGCTCCGCGCTGCCAATCAGCCTCGCGGCGGCCAATGGGCGGTCCGGCCGGGGGTCAGGTGACCGCGGGCCAGCTGGCTCCCCATTGGCGCGCGCCGCGCGCCTCCCGCTCGGTTTATGTGCGAGGAGTGAGTGATTGACTTTATCAGTCCAAGGACATTACTCTGGAGGCGAAGAGGCTGGGACTCGCGCGGCGAGCGGCAAGCGGCGAGTACCGAGCCTGCCTACTGCCCGCTGCCCGCCGGCCGGCCGCTAGCCGGTTCCGCCACTAGGCGCAGCCCAGCCCAGAGGCGGGTACCCAGGGAGCCTCCTGGCCCTGCGGTTCTGTGCACTCGGAGAGAGGAGGGGTGCCCGGGACAGGATTGGCAAACTCCGCCCTCTACTTACTATTTTGCTTATTTTTCTTTGTGCGCGCCTGTTAGTTTGTTAAACCAGATCTAGTCCCAGAGTCTTTTCTCCTCCCTCCTCCCCCCCCCAACACCCCCTCCCTGCTCTTTCTTCCCCTCCTCCCTCCTACCCCTCTGCAGGAGACTCGCAGTGACGGAAAGTTGCAGCCCCTGGTAGCGCCTTGGGGGTCTCCCGGCAGTGTCCAACCGCCGCCACCCCTTTCCGACTACGGCACTTCGGAGATCTCCTCCTTCACCGATACCCTCTCTCATTTCGGCCGGATCGCCTGTGCCCAGAACGTCCCACCCATGACGATGCTCCTGGACGGAGGCCCGCAGTTCCCTGGGCTGGGAGTGGGCAGCTTCGGCGCGCCGCGCCACCACGAGATGCCCAACCGTGAGCCGGCAGGCATGGGGCTGAATCCCTTCGGGGACACAACCCACGCCGCCGCCGCTGCCGCCGCCGCTGCCTTCAAGCTGAGCCCTGCCGCGGCGCACGATCTATCTTCAGGCCAGAGCTCGGCTTTCACGCCGCAGGGTTCGGGCTACGCCAACGCCCTGGGCCACCATCACCACCACCACCACCATCATCACCACGCCAGCCAGGTGCCCAGCTACGGCGGCGCTGCCTCTGCCGCCTTCAACTCAACGCGCGACTTTCTGTTCCGCCAGCGCAGCTCCGGGCTCAGTGAGGCGGCCTCGGGTGGCGGGCAGCACGGGCTCTTCGCCGGCTCGGCGAGCAGCCTGCATGCTCCACCTGGCATCCCCGAGCCCCCTGGCTACTTGCTCTTTCCTGGGCTGCATGAGCAGGGCGCTGGGCACCCGTCGCCCACAGGGCACGTGGACAACAACCAGGTCCACCTGGGGCTGCGTGGGGAGCTGTTCGGCCGTGCTGACCCATACCGCCCAGTGGCCAGCCCGCGCACGGACCCCTACGCGGCCGGCGCGCAGTTTCCTAACTACAGCCCCATGAACATGAACATGGGCGTGAACGTGGCGGCCCACCACGGGCCCGGCGCCTTCTTCCGTTATATGCGGCAGCCCATCAAGCAGGAGCTGTCGTGCAAGTGGATCGACGAGGCTCAGCTGAGCCGGCCCAAGAAAAGCTGCGACCGGACCTTCAGCACCATGCATGAGCTGGTGACACATGTCACCATGGAGCATGTGGGGGGCCCGGAGCAGAACAACCACGTCTGCTACTGGGAGGAGTGCCCCCGGGAGGGCAAGTCTTTCAAGGCGAAGTACAAACTGGTCAACCACATCCGAGTGCACACGGGCGAGAAGCCCTTCCCATGCCCCTTCCCGGGCTGCGGGAAGATCTTTGCCCGTTCTGAGAACCTCAAGATCCATAAGAGAACCCACACAGGTAAGGGAAAAAGCAGGCGGGCGTGGGTTCCACTGGCGATACCCCGTCACGCAACGGACTTAACAGCGCGAGGGAGAGAGGTGGCGGCCAGGGAAAGGGGCGACGCCCCGCAACGGCCGCTCGAAAAAGAAGCGCTGTCAGTGACCCTCCACCCCTAGCCCTCCCCGTCCCGTGGCGCCTTTGCCGAGTTCTAACTTCCCGGGCAGACTGCTCTGCGGTCTCAGGAACTAATTGGGACCTTCTCGCGCCCAGGAACAAACTGGCGCCTCCTCTTTTTGTCTCCCTTTCTGGGTTACGGTGAAGGGACTCCGAATGTGTTGAGAGCATATTGCTTACAAGCGACTTAGCTCTCGGCACACATTCGTGGAAGGCAACCATAGAAATGCTAATGAAAACTAACTTTCGGTTACTTCCGCTCTTTTTTACACTTGATTGGCACATCTCCTAATTAAATGACTGATACTTTTGTCAAACTATTTTTATTTGGAGTTCCAGGTTCAATTCAGTCCTCCGGGAGGAAAGCTAAAGCAGTTTCGTGGGTTGTTCATAACATCTTGTAAAACTGTCTGGAGCCCCCTGGATTTATATATATATATATATATATATATATATATATATATATATATATATATATGTATATCCCCCCCCCCCAAACATTAAGTACGACTACCCAGGCTTTTTAATACCGGGCTTAGCCAAACCACTGCATTTGAAAGAGGCAAATTAAAAGGTACAAAGAGGCTGAACGGGATTGTCCTGTCCGGGGCCCATTGTCCCGCCGGGCTCGGTTACATCGCCGAGGTGGTGGCGGAACGTGGCCGCGCATTGGGAGCCCTGGGTCGGGTGGGGTGGAAACACAACTTAGGGGAAACTTCGGAGGAGCCAGGGGCTTTCCCTCCTTGCAAGAACAAAGACGTGGTCAGGTTTTGGGCCTGCCCTGCCCCACCCCCGCCCCGACCACCACTCCCAAACCTAGCGGGCTCAACCTACGCTCTTCATTTCTCTCCAGGGAAAAATAGATTCTCAACAGCAGCCCCCAGTCGGCGCTCCCTCTCCGGGAAGACCGCCGGAAGCTCAGTCTCCTGCTGCTTGCCTCTGGGAAACTCCGGCACTGACCGTATTTTACCCCCTTTGGGTTTTTGCCTTTTGCAGGTGAGAAACCTTTCAAATGTGAATTTGAAGGCTGTGACAGACGCTTTGCCAACAGCAGCGACCGTAAGAAGCACATGCATGTGCATACCTCGGACAAGCCCTATATCTGCAAAGTGTGCGACAAGTCCTACACGCACCCGAGCTCCCTGCGCAAACACATGAAGGTAATTACCTCTTTATTAGCGGTCGGCGGTTTGTAAACACTCGGCCCGACGCCGGGCCGCGGAACGGAAGCGCCCGCGCTGCCCACCCTCTGTCCTCCACGTTAAATCCGATTTGCTCCAGCAGTGACACCTTGAACCCATTTTGGGGACCGGGCGGGGTGGGGGCGGGAGTGAGCAAAGTTGGGAGGGGGAGGAAGCGGAGGGAACAATCGGTTGTTTACTGGGAAGCTCTAGCCGAGCTCGCCTAGGCTTGCGGGACTGCCGTGGCCGCCTCTTCCCGACTCAGCCCGCGGTGGGAACCGAGAGTAGCCGCGCCGAACCCGGGGGTGGGTGGTTCATTCGCTCTTTGGCTTCGGATAAAACAATAGGGCCGAGGAGCGCGATCTGATTCCCACACATTTGTCTGCGACTTCGCAGCGCTCAGGGCCCCTGTGCCACCTTCTCTGTACCTGCTTTCCCAAGCCGAAACGGGCTTGATGAAACCTGGGCCCGGATTTAGTATTTTATAGGACCTCACAGTGTAACTGCTTACCCCACTCCATCCGTGGAGAAAGCATTTTTGAAGTGGCATGACCAAAACGGAGTGCTTTATTCCTTTTCCATAATACCAGTCTTCGGAGCAAAACTGGTTTTTAGCGAACATCTCCGGGTTTTCTAGACATCGGTAATATGGATTTTTTTTTTTTAAAGCAGCATTTTTCTTTTAAGTGGGTCACTGGGCGGTCTTGTTGTTACAGTGCTCGAATTCTGCTCTTGTTTTTGCTTGCACATTGCCAGTTGGAATTATATTCATTATAATATATACATGTTAATTTTAGGTTCATGAATCTCAAGGGTCAGATTCCTCCCCTGCTGCCAGTTCAGGCTATGAATCTTCCACTCCACCCGCTATAGCTTCTGCAAACAGTAAAGATACCACTAAAACCCCTTCTGCAGTTCAAACTAGCACCAGCCACAACCCTGGACTTCCTCCTAATTTTAACGAATGGTACGTCTGAGGACAAACACAAACCCTGTTAACTATAGAATGGACCAAATGCATTTTTAAAAGAAAACTGAGACCAATCAGATGGAAATGGAGTTTTAAGGCAAGAGGCCATATATAGGGCTACATCTTGTTAATTGCAATTGTCCAGGAAGGTTTTGGGCAAGATCCAAAAGTAGCCATGCCCTTTTCTCAGGATTAGAAAATATGTTTTGGCATTTGAAGCATTTTTTACAAAATCTTTACACTGCTTTTTCTTCCCCTTCCTCTTGCTGTCTGCGACACCCCATTCTTAAACTCCTGCAATTCATTTTAACAGTTGTCCTGTTTCTCGAGAGGAAGTTATAGAAGGCTTGTTGGTGGTGGTGATGTTAAACTGATGGAAATTCTTTTTCGCCTTAGTGGTGATTGTTTAAACTCTCACAGTCTTAAACCGTGCCAAAGTCCTGTTATGTCTTGAACTTTTCCTCAAAGCATTACACTTGTGAATGTATTTTTGTCTAATAGGGTCGAAACTGTTGTTCAGTATTTTTTTCAGGCTGAGGATGTGATGTTACTCTACACAGATTGTGACGTTTAGTATACAGTTGCCTTTTGTAATAACTTTTTTTTTTGTAAATACATATCCATTGATGCCATATTTATCGTTTGTAATTTAATTATTGCTACAAGTGCCGGGAACTGAACAATATTTATGGATAAATGTTTTCTAACAAGTTCTGTACAGCTTTTGATTATAACTGCTTTAGCATTAAAATTTTATTGTTTTGAAAGAAGAACACAATTTACAATTTTGGAACCACTGACTCCTTTCTCTTGTTTTGTAACAGCCTTCTACAAAGAGGAGATGTGAGCAAATTAAATCTTGTTTGTTGGTATTTATAACTCACTCAGATCCCTTTTTTAATTGTTAAATTATTTTTCTATTACAGTATAAATTCCTTACAGTGTCAGTTTCCATCTGGGAAGACTCTCCTTTCCTTATCTCTATCTCAGATGGTTGTTTAACTGCGAGTTTAAATGTGTTTGTCCTGGATTTTCGGCATGCAAATCAAATATTACTGATCAATTCAGTTAGTGGCCATGACATCTCAATCTTGTACTTCAAAGACTGAGAAGCTGGATTTAATCATCCCTGCCCTACATATATAAACATAAGGTAACCTAATGAATTTTATGTCCCTTAGTTCTTTATTACCTTACATAAAAATGAAAATTGCGGCAGGATGCATGTCTGTGTTTTCTATCTAGAGATCACCCATATACCTATATATGTTTGTATCTATGACTTATCTAATCTGTCTATCAATCTATCTAGTAGCTATCTATATATTTTCAAAAGATAGCTTATGTCTGAAACAGTGGTGATGAGTAAGGCCAGTTGAGCATTGCTTACTTATGGTTAAAGTGCTTCTTAAAAGAACCATAGTCCATTTACAATTTTGGAAGGCAAAGGCTGATTTGTTTGCTGTATATAGTTCATAATTATCGCAATTATCCATAACATTTATATAGCGGTGTAATAACTGCAGCAGTTCTGAAATGATGCTATGGAAAAAAATTGCAAAATATGTATTTTTAAAGTTCATGATTTGTAGGCAAAGATGTTAAGAGCATTGTTTCCATTAAAATCAATAACAATGAAAAACGGTTGTTTGCTTTGTGATGAAATGTTAACAATCCATTTAATCTTCAGTGAAGCAACTCCTTTGGACAAACAGTTCTTTTACAATGGTTATATGGAAAAGAAATTGATTGCTATTTGGGGGGGCTGGAGTGGGTAGAGTATTGAGACCTTTTTTATTAGGGTGCTGTTTGTTATTGAGCCCAATCTCTGCATGAATAACAGAAAGGTGGAGATAAGGAATTGTAAAGTATTTAGAAATGTATTGAATAGGCTTAAGTACCTCCTTTAAGGGGCAATGCTCTAGGTTTTTGGTGGCAGTCAATTTGGTATTATATATGATCATTTTCAATTCTAGAATTTTGTTTATTGTTCTTTTTGAAGAAATAAAGTCTTGGCACATCTTATTTATGTTATAACATTTTTGTATTTGGTGCCTGATTTTTTTTCATGTTCAAATAAATCAATCTGAAATTGAAATGTTTATAGAACTTCTGATGATTAAAAGAAACTTTGATTCTGTGAATTCACGCAGTTGAAGCAATCTATTTTAAGTTATCTACTGATCTTTGTCAACAGACAATTATTGACAGTTTCTAATTGCAAATTGCTTTGGAGGCTATTTTTTGTTAGTGGAGAATAATGGGGTCTTTTGCATTTTCTTCCACCAATATCCAAGCCTGAATGCCATGAACGGAGATTGGGATGACTCCACATGTGACGAGCAGGTAACCTGGTCAGTCTATCACTCCCAACCCAGACATTCCGATCTTGACCTTGACATTGAGGGTGCTGGACCAGATTCCTATTTCAGGTTTTTTCCTTCACCTCAAACCAGAGACCATTTTAAATGCTCAGCAAGTTCTCAGAAAGTATATATTCATAAGACTGGCTCTAAGTGTGTTCCATTGTGAAGTCTAAATAGTATATTTTTCTTCTGAACTGTACAATGAATTTCCATAATTTATCACTTTCTCCATGAGTTCCCTCCCCCACCCTCAATCTAACCTAACTTTAAATGGAAGTAGAGCCCTGTGTTGGGTACAAGATTCCACCAAAAATTTGCCTCCGTTTCAATTAAATGTATTAAATATCTCCTTAAGAGAGAAAGAGCAGTTTGACCTTTTCTTACTTGAAATTATTCCACCATAAAATTTTACAGGAAAGTATTCTGAGTGTCCTAAAAGGGGAAGATATCAATTAAATGAAAAACAATTATGATAACCAATATTAGGAGAATATCAAGTTTTGCCCGTGTAGATCATTACATCTAATTTGGGTATAGCATCATATTTCTCAAAATCATGTCCTCCACCCTTGTCATTTGCGGTAAAGAAAACTCCTTATTTTGATAGAAAACTTTTCACAGATTTCCCCTCTATAATCTGGCTCTGGGAGTGCACAATTACATTCTTGAATATTCAGTAAACAACCTTAGAGAGTAAGTACCCCCCCCCCCCAAAAAAAAGAACTCATAAATGCTCAAGCCCGAGGCATGGGCCAGACTCTTAGTATAAATCAACTTGTTACTTTTCCTCTTGCACCTTGTAAGATCTTTGTTGAAAGTCCCTTTTTCAAAATGAGTGATTTTGCATAAGAAGATTTCCACTGTTAGGCAAAAGGGAGGTGGCTATTTCCATGCAAGACAGAAGTTTGGCCTTCATCCAGCTTCGGAAGGTTAAAGATCAGGACAGGGTCCACGCTAAGCAGGCCGGTCGATCTAAATTACTAAAGTTGGACATGAGTGAGCAGAGACCTCCACTCACAAAGCCTCCCAGGAAAAGTTGGAGTGTTCAGGACTTCCTCGCTCCTCCCCCTCCTCCCTTCTCCCAGCCTGATGTCTCTGCCTCTTCGCCCTGGCTCTCTCTCCCCCTTCAAAAAAGCTCCCTAAAACAGAGGAGCAAAGTCGAAGGGCCTCTTAACATGTAAGTTTGTGGAAGAATCGCCAGCAGCCTGCCCATCGCCTGAAGAGATTTTCCTGGCACCTAGACTGGTTTCCTCTCACAGGTTTCTGTCCCTCGAGTCCCAAGCCTCCAGTGGATCCTTGGCCCGGGCCGGGGCAGAGGCGGCGAGGCCAGGCGTTTCGGAAGTCGGGGCTCCAGCTCAGCTGTCCTCGGGCCCCTCGCGGGGGCTCCCAGGGTCCCTGTCCACACACCAAGTTCTTGCAAGTCTCTGTCGAGGCTCGGGCGGGGGGAAGGGACCTCATTTCCTAGGGTCAATTCTCTCGCGGTCTCTGCCCGCTGACCCTTTGACCTCCACCTACAGGGCCCTTGGCGGCCGTAAGCCGGCGGTCGCCCAGGCTCTGAGGACGCTTCGCGCCCCATCGCCTCCCGGCCTCATTAGGCCGGCGGGGCTGTAAAGCAGGAATCAGCCTCTGCCTAATCCGGACCTGGGGTCAATACGAGCCCAAACAATGGTGAGCTCCGAAGGCCACTGCGTAGCGCTGGCCGCAAACTTTGTGTTCAATTCAATTTTCTAAAGCGGTGGGGGTTGGGGGCAGGGAGGTATTCGTCCACCCGAAGGCCGCTTGCGGCTCCCGGGGGTCACCAGCGAACGTCCTCTCTCGCTCGGCCCCTCCGGCCTCTTCGCAGCGCGTGGGACAGTGGGGGCTGCGAGGCCCGGGAACTGGTTGTCTGCCCGCGCGGGTGCCCAGGGGCCGGCGCAAAAGGGGCCGCCCCAGTGCCGGGAACAGACTTTGAAGTGGGTTTTTAGCGCGCACGTGTGAGAGCCGGGCCAGGGCCGGAGCGGGGACCCGCTGAGAGGAAAGAGGAGGCTCCGGCCGGGACCCCAACCCCTCCCCCGCTTCCCCGTGGCTCCGGCCTTTTCAAGCCCCGGCCGGGGGCCCGTAGGCCTCCCACTCCCGCGCCCTCCCCGCGCCGCGCGCAGGCGCACACCTCGCAGCCGTCGAGTCGGATTTTGCTGCGAGGGGGTGGGGGGTAGAGTTGAAAGCGGCTTTGCAGTGCCGCGGCCTTGGTTGAGCTGGGAGGGAGGGGAGGAGAGGAGAGGGATGTGGGAAGGGGGGCTGGTTTTGGGGCGGCTTTCGAGTCGTGAACATGGCGGCCGGATGCGAACCCCCGCGGAGCGCAGCAAAGCGCAGACTACAGGCTGCCGAACTGTTATGTAGTTTAAACTCCGTTGTTATTCCTCAGCTCTGGGCGCCTCGCGGAGGAATGTAGGTCGTGGCGGTTGAGCGCAAAATTGTTAAAAAAAAACGGAAGCGAAGAAGTTCTTCCTGGGCATTCTCCTGGGAAGTTGGCGTGTGCTTTTTGGGTTTGGGGTTCCCATGGGACTTGGACAAAAAACCCGCCAGAGGCCTCCCCACCCACCTGGCCCGACTTAAAACGCCCCCTCCCGGAGCTCCCATGGGTAGGGGATGCCATTTCGAGTTATCAGGCCCCGGTTGGGATTCCACAGAACCTTTGAGTCCCTAAAAATGCCCCAAGAGTGGATAGTATGTTCTCTTTCAGGACAGTGGCGAAGCCTATGAACACGTAGGCACCATTTTCCAAGAAAATGCCCCGGCTCTTCAACAGACAAGTGTGCCATTGCTAGTTCGACCCCTACACATTGCCCAGGCTCCGTGTTCTGTATATCTCATTTAAACGTGAGCCTATGAAAATTGGCACTGTAGCTTTGGTGTGTGCCCTAACAGCTGGTGGTCTTATGTTAAGGGAAAAAAAGGCCAGAATTGCGAAAATTCAGCTTTTGCTTAACTGCCTTAATGCTGGCGTTGAAAGAACCCCTGGTAGCTCTGGGATCTCGAGCTCGTGTTTTCTCCGTAGAAAAATGCTGCAGATTCACCTTCAGATGTGTCTTTTGTGAGGGAAAAGAAAATGTAAGATTTTAAAAAGAGTAGTAATTGAACCTCCGCTCCTCTAGGAAAATAAACGGCTCGAACTCTTCCAGGTTGCGTCTTCGTGGAGACCAACGGCCAAACGGAAAAGTCAGCCCTCTTGGGGTTGTCCAGTGTCACGCATTTGGCTCCTGAAGGTGTGGGGCAGTTCCCGTGGGCCACCTTGGGAAGGGCCCCAGGTGGGTGGGCAGGTCATTAGCAAGGCTGGCCCAGATCTGGGGGGAAATCTGCAAAACAGTGCCTTTATCTGCAGAGAACAATTGATGGGGTTGTCTTTCCTCCTTTTCAGTGCACAAAGAAGACGGCTTTGGAGCAAGAATTTGGAATATGCATTTAAGTTGTCGTGCTTTGCATTGGAAACCCATGGGCAATTAAAATAAGCATGCCCTGTAGTATTTTCTGTCCTTTTCTTATGTGTGATTCCTGCAAGTCAGAGGGGGCCGGAGCCTCTTCAGTAGTTTGGAAACTTGTTTTGAAATTGCCACCAAGCCGATTTTTTTTTTTTTTTTTTTTTTTTTCCTGTGGGTGAAGTTTCCTTCCCCGGTTCACTCACTCCCCCTTTCCCCACCCCCTCACTGGAATTGTATTGACATCTTTGAGAGATCAAAGGAAGTAAATGGTGCTTGCTGTATGCTCTGTTTTTCCATACTGTAGTGTGAATCCTGAGATTTGAGCTTTTTTCTGGTTAAATCTCTTGGTACCAAAAGTGTGGAAAATAAAAAGTTCATTAACTTAAGGAAGCTTTAGCCAATGGTTAGACGGGGTTTGTCCCTTTAAGAGCTACAGAGCCCAGATTGTCTCTTAAATTGACTTTAAAGTTGAGCTAAGATGCATTGGTGGACTGTTTCCCCTGGATACCTGCGGTGTTCTTTGGGTCATTTGATATGGTAAAACCGGTTGATTTTCATAGGAGTTATGTGAATGGAATTTCTGCAAAACCGGGCTAGTGATAAATTGATAGAGCTCTTATATTTGTTTGGATGACGACTCCAAAGGGCACTGCTTTTTTACCGAGGTTTGGTTCTATCATAACCATTGAAATTTACAGCTTGGAAAACACTAACTTTGCTGGAAGCATTTGAAGCGGGGAGTGTTCAGAGTACTTGGACTAATGGTAACTTAACAGAGGAACATAAATCCTTTGAATATTAGAGAAACTCGTTTCAAAAAATCTGTTGAAACTGAAGCAAATCTCTTTCATTAACATTTAACAAACCAAGCAGTTTTGTATATTTTTAATCTGATGACAGTTCAACCTATTTACAAATCTGATGAATGGAGAGAAATGTAAGCTTTATAGTAACTATAACAATAGCTTTCACCAGATGGTATAATGTTTGATCTCTAATAGGGTGTGTGTCTTGTGTCATATGTTTTATTAAAATACAACCTGCGTCAACACCATTTGAATTTGAGGTGTTAAAAATAAAACATTCCATCGTGTTTTATTATAAACCAGAGTTTAAAACAACATATCCATGTAACATTTTATGACATTTTTTCTAAGAGGAAATGTGGCCTGTTTTGACCTATCTGCAGTTCACTTTTTGTTTTTTTGCCAGTGTTGTCCTGCTTGGTATCCGGGACAGTCTCTAATTCCTGACGAAGAACTTGATACTGACGTTGGTATGCAGCAGCCAGCCCTCCATAACACTACCTATCCTAAATGCAGGGTTAATGCCGAACCTACTGTGCAAGAAATGATTTACTGATGAGGTTTCAAAGAAAACCACATTAATTTGGATGTCTGTTACCTTGAAGTGATCATTTTAAGAGTAGTAGCTTCTTCCCTAGGTATAAAAAGACTATTTTCTTCTTTTGGTGTATTTCATCCTGTGTTGAGCAATCATTTGTGAAATGAAAAAGCAAAAAAACTCCCCCCAATTTAGGATTTATAAATGGGAAGATGGAGGTGAAGTCTGGCCTAATTCATAACCCAGTATGCATTATCTCATACATTGTGTTGACCTTGTTGAAAATCTTTTTCAAATATCAGCATTCTATATGTAGAACTAAAGTGTTTAAAACTAGAAACATTAATTGTTGTTTTGTTAATTTCATGTTTGTGTTCAGAAAGCAATACCCAGGATCCCTTCAATTTTTGTTGGACTTAAATAAAACCATTTAAATTATTTTTGTGATTATTGTTTTATTAAAATGACAGTAGCCCCTAAATAACTTTGATTAACCTGTTGACTTGGGACAATTTATGTTCAATTCACATTTTTCACGATATAGCTGGGCTTTCACTAGGCAATAAATGGGGGTGGGGGGGGAACCCGCCGAACAAACCACAAACAACTGTTTTGAACTCACAGTGTTTTCCCAGAGGGGTTCAAGGCCAGGTACTGGGAAGACCAGGGGAAGAATTCAGAGTCAAGGATTGATAGGGGTGATTAGGAGGAATGAAAGGATGCAGGAGCTTGGAGGGAAAAAAAAGAGCATTTGAACACCAATATTTGGGTGAGAAAGAGAGGGAAAGATAAAGCTGAAGATAACCTGAAAGGTGAAAAGAGTGCCTCTGTAGCATCCAGGGAGGAGACACTGCAACATTACATGTATATTATTCAGAAGCGCTGAAGTGGTTTTTGGGGCAGACAACTTGGCACAACCATTGATTAGAACACTTAGAGAATCATGGAATATAGGTGTTATTAAAACACAAGTTGTCATTAATTAACTGTAATGTTAGAGAAGATGAAGGCACTACAGAAGAATTATTGGAACTCCAGATACTTGATTTCTCATTTTAAATTTAACATCTATAATCTAATGTAATCTGTGAATGACTATCATTCTATTTATTTGGCATGATTATGCGATGATGAAGTATTGTAAAATTGCAGCCTGATAGAGTATATTACTATTATTCTTTAGATCCAGTTTCATTGAAATTTTTGGTAAGTAGACTGATGATAGCATAATTTTTTAGTAGTAGGAAACATGCTCATCTCCCTGTGATTCCAATTGTTCATTTACATCAAGAATAATAGAAAAGGCCAGGACAAGGAAGCCTATGATTCTTTGACTCTCAGCTTCCTAACGCCTGACATTTTCTATGCCCCATAACAATGTTGGTAAAATTTTTGTGTTTTGTTTTGTTTTTAAGAACAAGAACTGTGTTCTTTCAGACAGGCAGTGGAGTATAATAATGGGATTGTTGAAAAAGCCCTAGGAAAGGTAAGCTACAGAGTTGTTCATGAGCCAGCTGCACTGTGATAATACCTCCTAGGGTTGTTCTATGGACTAAACAAGAAAATGTCCATAAAGAGCCTGTCACGGAGTAGTCCCTGAACAAATGATGCCTTCTTTCCCCCTTGCAGGTAGTTATTGTTTTGTTGCTTTGGGGTAGTTTCCTATTTTTACTATTATAGAATATTTTACTAAAAACATATAGTGGTTTGTACTGCATTGCAAATTTAATAGTTTTCAGAAAGTAGATGGAGATTTGTGGCATGTAAGAAATACTGCATTTCATAAGCATAATCACTAGATCAGGCATATGGGTTTATGAACATAGCTATGAATATTTAAACACATAAAATTAAAATGTTATTAAATGCCTGTTGTTCATTATCTTCCAATGAAAACACTTATTCTTAGATAAAAATAAGCTGTGTACTTAAAATCTGTAAACATAGTAATTTAATGGTTTGGTTTTAATTGAATAAAATTTTTACTTTAGTCAACAGCTTGATTCTTATATTAAAATTCAGTGACAATTTTACAATGTGAAAGTTGATATTCACATATAACAAAAAGATTAAATCTATGTCTTAAATTATTCAGTTTCCCCTTACCAAATTTATGATCATATTATGTAGTTGTGACTATAGAGTAATGAGACTGATTTTCTCTGGAGCTTGGAAGCTAGCCCTGAACACAGTTCCCAGTGAGGAGTCCTGAAATGTTTTGACCAATGTCAGCATCCTTCAAATAAGTTTATGGATTCTATGGGTGATGGATTCACTTAAGATAACAAGAACAACAAAACAGACAACAACCACTAGTCTTACTACTTTACAGCCATACTTTTGGTTTTATTATGTTGTAAAGGTTACTCTGATTTTATATTATGTTAATAAACTGAGGCTTGACTGAAAGACAGCGTAGAAATGCTCTACTACAGCATTATAGAATTTTGTTTTCAATTGTAAGTCTATTTATACAGAAAAACAAAACAAAACCACCAACACACAGCTCTTCCTGAGTGAGCTATCTGAGTGGCAAGTGTTTCTTTCCTTCCCACTGATTTTGGAAACTTGGGGCTTCCCAGAGAAGCTATACTGCTAAATAACATGGGCTGTTTTACGGAGGCCTGGGAGGCTTTTTTTCACTGGTTTATCGGCTTTGTCTAACTCTTTCTTCCTGACTCTCTCATATTTACCCTGCCCAATTAAACATGAAGGTCAGCCTTGTAAAATTTATTTTTCGAGGCTGAGTGTGGTGACTCACACCTGTAATCCCAGCACTTTGGGAGGCCGAGGCGGGTGGATCACCTGAGGTCAGGAGTTCGAGACCAGCCTGGGCAACATGGTGAAACCCTGTCTCTATGAAAAATGCAAAAAATTAGCTGGGTGTGGTGGTGCATGCCTTTAATCCCAGCTATTCAGGAGGCTGAGGCAGGAGAATTGATTGAACCCAGGAGGTGGAGGTTGCAGTGAGCCAAGATCGCACCACTGCAGTCCAGCATGGCGATAGAGCGAGACTCAAAAAAAAAAAAACAAAAAAAAAAAACCCTTTTTAGATTTTTATTCATTTATTTTTATTTTTTGAGATGGAATTTCCCTCTTGTTCCTCAGGCTGGGGTGCAATAGGGCGATTTCGGCTCACCGCAACCTCTTCCTCCCAAGTTCAAGCAATTCTCCTGCCTCAGCCTCCTGAGTAGCTGGGATTACAGGCATGCGACATCATGGCCGGCTAATTTTGTATTTTTCGTAGATACAGGGTTTCTCCATGTTGGTCAGGCTGGTCTCAAACTCCCGACCTCAGGTGATCTGCCTGCCTCAGCCTCCCAAAGTGCTGGGATTACAGGCATGAGCCACCACTCCCAGCCAAAAGTCCTTTAAAAAAAAAAAATTAGGTCATCAGAAACTTCATTGGTGAGGCCGGGCGCAGTGGCCCACACCTGTAATCCCAGCACTTTGGGAGACCAAGGTGGGCGGATCACGAGGTCAGGAGATCGAGACCATCCTGGCTAACACAGTGAAACCCCATCTCTACTAAAAATACAAAAAATTAGCCGGGCGTGGTGGCGGGTGCCTGTAGTCCCAGCTACTCAGGAGGCTGAAGCAGGAGAATGGCATGAACCCAGGAGGTGGAGCTTGCAGTGAGCCGAGATCGCGCCACTGCACTCCAGCCTGGGCGACAGAGCAAGACTCTGTCTCAGAAAAAAAAAAAAAAAAAGAAAGAAAGAAACTTCATTGGTGAAATAAGCAAAATGAGTATGCTAACAATTCCCTCTGTAATGTCCCAGAGTCAACCATAGAAGGCTATTTGTGGTACAAATAAATCAATGCATTGATATAAATCCAGTATAAATGAATTGTTTACAAATGATTCACTAATGTTACCCAGCCAGAACTTACACAGAAAAACTACACTCATATCTTTTTTGTGAAGCACCAAGAGAGTATGTAATTGGTTGGCCAGCTGATATTTCTTTGGAGACCTCACTATGCTTTACAAAAAATATTTAGCTACTCTGAGATGTGACGTCTTATTGGCCGTGATGATAACCAAAAACAGAAGGTGTTTCATTAACTTCTGGCCAATGACATATTAAATGAAGATGCTCAGTTGAGCAGCATCAGTGATTTCAATTGACTCATCAATCGCTAGTATCTAGCTGCCATCATGTTTCACTTTGCTAACAAGCTGATATCCCACATCTGATGCCAACAACTCAGGTCCTTCAAACAAATGACATGTTTGATAAAGAAATCTTTTCAAAATCATTATGCACTTCAGCATTTGTCTTTTCTTCTAGCACAGCATCTGTGCATCTGTTCCATCAGGCGTCTATTCCTTGATCATTTCTGAGCCTTCCATGATTTTTGAGCCTGATTTGCTGGTGTCTCAGGAATGAGAAATGAAGCTTCTTCCATTGAATATTATGTTATTGAACACTGAAACACAATCTTTATGTCCAAGGTTTTAGATTTAATCTTGTGGATGAGACTGCAGGGAAGCATTATCACAGGCTTTCTGATAAGACAATGTTGTGAAGGAAATTGAGTTGGGGGGAGAACAAAGTCCTAATTTAGGAATAACATTAAGGACATATTTTTGTTTGGTTGGTTTTGGTATGGATTCTTGAAACTTCACACCGCTTTCAGCACTGTAAAGCTTCCGAGTTTTAAAGCATCTCTGAAACATTGAAATGAAAAGTCACATGATCCAACTGGTAAAAATGGATACAATTCATTCTTTAGTGAGCCCTACTTAACTATATAATTTGCTCATATGCATTAAATTGAGGAAGTCTTCATCTCTAGTTTGCATATATCTGGATTGCATGCAACTGTCTCCACTAGATTCCTTGTAATTGCATACTGACTAATGGTGTGATACAGCTATTTTAACACTGAATTTAAGCCCAAATACTGCTATTAACAGTGTAATCACTTTGATTAAGTGAATAATTGAAATATAATACTTCAAAATCAGAATGCAGGACAATAACTACTTCCCTATTTTATTTTTATTTTTAATTTTTTTTTAAGATATGGGCTCTTGCTCTGTTGCCCAGGCTGGAATGCAGCAACCTGATCATAGCTCACTGCAGCTTCAAACTCCTGGGTTCAAGTGATCCTTCTACCTCAGCCTTCCAAGCAGCTGGGACTATAGGCATGTACCACTATGCCCAGCTACATTTCTAATTTTTTGTAGAGAACGGGGCCTTGCTGTATTGCCCAGGCTGGTCTCAAACTCCTGGTCTCAAGCTCTCCTCCTGCCTTGGACTCCCAAAATGCTGGGATTCAAGGCGTGAGCCACTGCATCCGGCCCTCACTTCTCAATTTTTTTTTTTTTAAAGAAAAGTCTAGGCATACCTTTGAATTCATAAATAAACCAGTATAGTTTTATATTGGGGAAACACTAAATCAGAAAATAAAATAAATTGTAATTGATAA